CAATGTTTATAAGAGTAGCAGTAGGTTTCATTAGTCCTAGTTCCCTCTTTCCAATCAATTTATGAGTCTGAGGTGTCAAAGAGGGGGGATCAGCAATATAAAGTGTGATTGCTGCAGCAAACACAGTAATAGGCCCCAATTGCCTGTTCCTCTTCCATCTTCCTGCCAGAGTAAACCAAGAAAAAATGAGTTTCCTGATCAAAAATAGCCCAAGATGCCCAAAGAAACTTCTAGAGACCAAGAACAAAATCCAGGAAAAAGGCAGTGAAGAAAAACCTAAAACAAGGCAAAATAATTCAGACATATTATTTAGGTGAAGAGCAGTCAATTAAATTTAAATTGGATTTTAAAAAGCTTGGAAGCTGTGTGGTATAGAAGAAAAAGCATTGAATTTAGAGTTAGGAAAACCTGTGTTCAAATACTAGCTCCAATTGGTGTCTTGTAAATCACAGGGACTTTAAAAATAAAAAAGATGGGAGAGAGAGAAAACAGCCTATGTATACTCACCAAGATAGATATTATAGTTATAGTTAGAGCAACAGTTCTCAAAGTGTGGCCTGTAGAAATTGTGAGATTCCCAACACCCTTTCGGAGGGGTCCACAAAGTCAAAACTATTTTCACAAGACATTATTTGCCTATTAAAATACTCCTCTCTTTTTACAACTACTTATCTGGAGGGGAAACTGGATGGGTAAAGACGGATGGAAGTAACGCTGTATAATAAGAAGATATACTTTTGAGGGAAAATTCAGGAATTGGAATGGGGAAGGAAAGAAGAAAAGCATAATGGAGAACATCTGACTGAAGGTCTATGGAGGGAGAAACAGAAGGAATGGTATCATTACCCTGTGACATGGCAGGGAATGCAATCATGGGTTTCATTTAAAGAGGTTTAGCTTCAGTTAAGTTGACAAGTTCATTTTCTGGAAGTTTTATCTGCGATTCCCATGGTGATACAGAATCTTCATTCTCAAATGCTTTGGCTCACTGAGCAACCTTATAGCCAATCTTGCCCATACCTGTGATGCCCAGAATAGATCTGGTCACTTCTTGTTGACCAATTGATAGAAAAATACTTAGTGTCAGATGAAACAACTACCTCATTTGCTAAAAGTCCAAGATGCAAAAGTGAACCATGAAACTGTCTCCACAAACAATTCTATCATGTTTTTAAGACAAAGAAATGAAGGAACAAATTGTGATTTACGTCTTGCTTTACAATCTCTGATAAAATGAGTCGTTCTGAGAAGTCTTGTCCTGGAACACACATGACTCATTCATTTCTCCATGAAATAGAACAAAAGCTTCAGCAAGAAATAAACCATAACATATGGGTACAAGTATTAGTTTTCTTCATAGTATAAACCAGAATATCCTGGAGGGTCACATTGTAACATTTATTTTAAACTAGCAATCTTCAGTCACAATAAGGCTGGGGTTCTTAACCTTTTTAATTTAGATAATTATATTTCAATAGAACTGGTTTCCTTTGCAATCCTATGTATTTTAATTCATTCATTTAAAAACATTATTCTGAAAAGGGTTCTATAAACGTTGCCAGATTATGAAAGAAATTCACGACCAAAAAAAAAGTTAACCTGTGCTTTACAGCGAGGTTGTTGTAAACATACAAAAAGATATAGTTTTTACCCCTATTCAACATTCCAATGTGGGAAGATGAAAGGTGTCTTCTACTAATACTTTACCTAACATCAGAATATGTCCAGATGTGCTTGGGAACACTATTCACGTGCCCAGGATACCTTTGGCTCAATTATCACATGTATTCCTCAGTTGCTTTCCAAACTACTAGCATCTACTTAACTCCTGGAAGCATTCTGTAATGGTTTGGAAATTATTTGGACAAAAATATTTTAAAATGTATTCACTGTTCTGCAAAAATGAAAAAAATATTAAGAACCACCACTACCTTACAATATAAGAAACTTTACAATTAACCAATCACCTTCAAATATATTTTCTCATCTGATCTTTAAAGCAACCTTATGAGGTAGACAAGATAGGTAAGTAATATTTATTATTCCCAATTTAGAAATGAAGAAGGTGAAACTAAGAAAAGCTTTAGTGCCTCACTTAAGATTACATAGCTGATAAGTGACAAAACTGGAACTAAGTTCTATAACATCTGGTTGTCATCTTGCATTACATCATATTGATTCTACATAAATAAGTGAAATGCATAAGGGAAAAATGTCTGATGCCAAATAATAAAATATATTCATGCATATTTGTTTAAAATAGGTCATATCAGGTTCTGGTGAAATTCTTCTCTTATTCTGAATAATATAAATCCCTAACTTAAAATGGAAAACATTATCTAAGAATCAGGACAACTTGAAAAGCCCTATTTTCACTAATAAAGGCTGCAATTATGAATCATCATGAAATTAAATGACCTAAAAGGATCTTCTAGTATTCTCCAGGTTGATGCCAGAAAGAAGGTCATTCCCCTATCTACAATGCTCTTAGGAACAGCATGTGGGGTGTTGGCCAATTTCACGCCAAAGCTAGCAATTGGGTTCAGGTGTAGATGATCCAGATCTGCTCCTGAGTTTACAAAAATCAAAAAGAAAGCATTCAAGTACCAGGCAGCCATAGCAGGATCACACAATATTTAGCAGTTACCACAAATTCTGGAGAGAAAAGCATGGAATATGATATTTCAAAAGGGAGAAACTAACCACTTACAATTGAGAATAACCTATTTGGCCAGACTGAGTATATTTCTATGGAGAAAAATGAAGCTTTAATGGAATAGAACATGTCTAAGATTCCTAATGAAAAGACTGAAGCTAAATAGAATCTTTGAAATGAAAATTCAGGAACCATGAGAAGTATAGGTAAATACATACAATTTCACAACTTGATGGAACTCTAGGATGATGACATGTTCTTACATTCTAACAGGAAGAAAATAAGCAAGCATCTATCCTCCCAGAACACCAAATTCTTTAAAAGTCAAAGAGAAATTTAAATAAGATAAACAAAGGGCCAGGGAATGGTTTCATTCTCTTCTGATATACTTAACAGAAGAAGGAAATTAGAATATAATGGGAAGATGAGGAAAATAAGAAAATGTATTATCTTACATAACAGGGGTACATGAGATAAAGATAATAGAAACATAATATACTTCATTCTACCTCTCTCCTTCTCCCAGTGCATGCCTCTTTCTCATCCCTTAATTTTATTTTTTCACCCTTTTTCAATATGGCTTCTGGCTCAGCCACTGGACTGAAAGTCTTTCTCCTCTGTAAACAATGGTCTCCTTACTGCTCAATAATGGGCGCTAAACAATATGTAAAAGTAAATACAGTCACTTTTTAACAGTCAAAGGATAAGGGCATTCATTCATGAGACATTGTGTTATGTTGTTAAAACTTAAAAGAAAAAAATTGTACTTATTCTTTCTGCTTAACTAAGTAATAATGTAGGTATTTACAAGTGATTGCAATGATTATGTCTTGTACTTTGGACTGCTTAAAGATTACCCTGTTTTTTTTCCTACTTTCAAAAAGATAATTATAAAAAGAAAAGAAAACATTGACTGAAAAAAGTCTGAACAACATAAATGAGAGAGTCAGTATACCAATCCCTGTTCTACCTGTGGCACAATGGATCATTTAGAGCCTGAGAGTTTAGATTAATAGTCCTTTTATTAAAAGCATATTTCAATGACCCCAGGTAAAAGCAGATCAGATAAAGGCCACCAGCAAGGTGATTCTCTGACTCAGGAGATCCTTGCCAAATACTAAAGACCACTTTTATATTCTTCTTGTACCAAGACCCTTAGAGTGCTGTTAGATCAGTTCACCTCAGGGCAAAGTTAACAAAAATTGCTTCAGGTCTACACATCAGCATACTTGCTCATAACAGTGTCTGGCTGGTGTGGGCATATGAGAGATTAAAACAAGCCTTTCCAGGTCCTCCAGGATCCTGCCTGCAACTGCCATCATGGCACAGTGGATCGAGAACTAACCTCAGAACTAGAAGCCCAGACCTCCAGTGCTACGTCTAGTACCACGGTATACCATGTGACTCTGTTTGGCAGCCATATTGTTCAACTGCATGCTGGAGGGCATTTCCACAATGAGAGTTTCCCAATCATTCAACTAATAAATATTTATTAAGCACTTATAATGTGCCAGGCACTCTGTTAATCACTGGAGATACAAAAAGATGCAAAAGACACTCTCTGACCTCAAGGAACTCATAATCATAATCTAAGGGAGGAGACAACATGGAAACAAATATCAAGCAAGCTATCTACAAGATAAATAGGAAATAATTAACAGTAATGAGTATTAAGAGGGATTGGAGAAGACTTCCTATTGAAGTTGGGATTTTAATGCGGACTTCAAAGAAGCCAGGGAGGTCAGTAGTTGGAGCAAAGGAGAGAGAGTATTCCAGACGTGGGACATAGCCAGAGACAATGCCCAGAGCCTAGAGTTGGAGTGTTCTGTTCATGGAACAATTTGGAAGCCAGCATCATTGGAACAAAGAGCATGTATCAGGGAGTAACGTATGAGGAATCTGGAGAGGCAGGAAGGGGTTAGTTTATGAAGGGATTTGAATGGGAAACAGAGCATTTTGTATTTGCTCTTGGAGGCAATAGGAAGCCACTGGTGTTTATGGTGTGGTGGAGGGAAGTGGTGACATGATCAGACCTGTACATTAGGAAAATCACTTTAGTGGCTGAATGGAGAATGGATTGAAATAGAGAGAGATCTGAAGCAGGAAAATCTACCCATAGAGCTGAGAACTGTCAGCATAGAGATGGTAATAAAATCCATGGGAGCTGATGAGATCACAAAGTTAAGTGGTGTAGAGGGAGGTGTTAGTTGGTTATACTGAACTTCTGATGGCTTTATTACTGAGTTTCCCATATAATTTGGTTGTTAGAAAATTAAATAAGTTGTTGATACAATAGGTTAAAACATCTTTATTAGTGGGTTTTCGTATTTCAAGGTTTACATATTGTTTATTACTTGTTTGGAAACACAAATGTTGTTGACCAAACTATATCACAAGTATTAATCTTTTTATTGATAAACAATCTACAGTACAGAAAAGTATTTCTAATAGCAAAACTGCTTACTCAAAACATCTCAATCACAAAATAGAGACTTAAAATTGAGTCAGTTATGCTAAGTTAATATAATTATTCTCATTATACAATTGGGAGGGGTCCTCCACAATAGCCAAAAGGCAAAATGAGGGCCATGCACTGCAGGGTGAATAAAACAAAGCATGTAAGGCAGAAATAAGAATGGAAAAATACTGGCCTACTCTGCAATTTTGTTTAGAGGTCCACCTGAACTACTCAATGCTTAACAAACATTTTTTCATTTCCTTCCACTTTTTGGTTTCATTGTTCCTTTCCTAATCCAGAAAGAAAATAACAGACAAGACTACCAAAGATATATTACTTATATTCATGTGGTGTTAGACTATAAAGGATTCTTGGGAATACATATTCTTTGGGAGCTCTTCAAACATAATAAAATGAAAATCTATAAGTTTTTAATTTCATGAAGAGAAGTACCAGCATGTATAAAGTATGTAAAGCAAAAATAAGCCTTTGTCATTTAGTCTGTCAAGTTTCCATCATTCTGAACTTTCCACCCAAACAAGTCATTTAAGATGTACTTCATTAGGAATAGGAAGGCCACTGAGAGCAGCCAGAAGGCTTTCAACCATATTTTCCATCATGAGATGTCGACTTTGATGAGTTGCGCTTCCAATATGAGGTGTTAAAATAACATTCTTTAACTTTAACAAAGGATGAGATCTGAAATAGAATTGAATTTTAACAATTATTCAGTTTTCATTATTTTTTTAATTATTATACTGTAGTTTCACTTTTATATTTGACAGAAGATAAAAATTTGTAGGAGATTAAAAAATAATACAAGAAAATTCCATTTCATTGATGGAAGAATAATGGAATTTTATAACCAGATAGGACTTAAACAATGTCTAGTCCAATAGTCTCATTTTAAAGATGAGGCAACTAGAGGCCCAAACTAAGGACACAGAATGAATTAATGGGAGAGCTAGTACTAGAACCCAGGACTCCTGGCTCCCAATACAGGGCTCTGATACACCACATTGTCTGTCTTCAAAACTACCTCAAAAAAAAAAAATAGAACACCAAGTGAAAATGAGGTATTATTTTAAAGAATTAAATGTAAAGGCCTGCATTGAGGTTCAATAAATCAACTACACAAGACCAGATTAAGTACATGTAGGTTGTCAAGAGTTCATAAGAAAAAACCTAGAGGGGCAGCTAAGTGGCGCAGTGGATAGAGCTCTGGCCTTGGAGTCAGGAGGACCTGAGTTCAAATTTGACCTCAGACACTTAACACCCACTAGCTGTGTGACCCTGGACAAGTCACTTAACTCTGATTGCCTCACCAAAAAGCAAGAAAAGAAAAGAAAAGAAAAGAAAAAACCTGAGCTTCCACTTCTAGTTCCAGTTGACCGTAAGTTCAATAAGCCAACAATGTAATGTGGCTTTTTATAATTTTTTTAAAATGCTAATATAATTATTGGCTTCATTCATAGAAATATAGTGCCAGGCACTGGGAAATGATCATCCTGTCATACAGTACATTGGTCACACTTCACATGCTCAATTCTGGCTGCCAAATTTTAAGAGGGACTTCAGCAAACCAAACTGTATCCAGAGCATGGTGACCAGCAGGGCCAGGGGTCTGAAACCTATCACCTGAGGAAGAGTTAAAATGAATGCAGGTAATTAGCCTGGAGAAGAAAAGACTAAATAGAGACACAAAATCTGACTTCAAATATTTATAGTATTAATAGATGAAGTAATGCATTTGTTTTACGTTGTTAATGATGGCAAAGCCAAGACCAATAGATGGAAGGGACAAGTCTGTTAAACGTTAATCAGAGATGTAGAGTTGGAAGAGCTCAAACATGAGGTGTTAGCATCAATTTTGTTACCTTTAACAAGAGATGAGATCTGAAATATCCTGCACTGAAAAAGGCTGTTCCACTTTTATTGGTTTCTTTTAGAATTATTATCAAAGTGTAGTTACATGTTTTATACTAATACAAAGATAAAAAAAGAATTCAAGAAAATTCTATTTGATTCATAGAAGAATCATCCAATCTTACAACCAGACAGGACCTGAAAGATTTTCCTACCTAGCGAAAAAACCTCCTGAGGGTTCTTGAGACTTGTTTGAAAGAAGGACACAACTATTCGAATATTAAGATGTTTATTTGTCTGTTAAAGTACTCCTCCATTTTCCAACTCCATATACGTGAGGAGCAACCAAACAAAATATTGAATACAGCAAAAGACATAAAAATCTAGCTCTCTGATGATTAAGTTTGGAACTGCTGCTGTAATAAGTAATGTAGAGAATTGATAAAGGAGGTGTAAGGGAAAAAAAATCCAACTCTCTTCTATTAAGTCAGACATTGAACAGATTTGCAAAAATATGTAAAACAATGCCACTCTTCTCACTAAATTTTTTGTTTTGGAAGACACAGTTATTTTTTATAAAAGTATGTTATTTGTGTTAACATGTCATGGGTTTATTATTATTTCTAAGTGAATTAATAAATATTTAAAAATCTTATCAGTTTTAATATCAAATATAGTAAATATATATATATATGTATATATATAAAACTCTCAATAATTTTAAGCATGTAAAGAGGCACTAAGACCAAAAAGGTGGAGAAACACTGATCCAGTCAAATATCCTCATGTTGCAGATGAGGAAACTAGCTAGTCAGCCTGGAGAAGAGAAGGCTAAATAGAGAAACAAAATCTGAGTTCATAAATTTGAAGAGTATATAGATGAAGTGATAGATTTGTTTTGCTAAAAATGGCAGAACAAGGACCATTGGGAAGAAGTGATGAGGAGTTCCTTCTTATATTGAACTAAAATCTGCTTAAATATTAGAACTGTTCAACGATGAAATAGACTGACTCAGAGGGGTACCAAACAATCTGTCACTGTAGATACTCAATTATAAGCTGGGCAAATAATTCTCAGTGATACTATAGGAAGATTATCCAATCTTGGGAGATTGGACAGTCAAAAGGCAATAAACATTTATTAAATGCCCACGATGCGCCAGGTACTCTGCTAAGTGCTGGGGATAAAAAGAGGAAAAAAAGAAAGTCCATTGCCTAAAGAACTAATTATCTACTGGAGGAAGATAACAAAGAAAAGAAAGATAGAAAGTATGTTTGGGAGGGAGGGAAAAGGTACTTGATCTGAGGGCATGAAGGAGAAGTCAGAGAAGGCCCAAAGATGGCAGCCAAGTAGGAAACCAGGATTAGAAGACCTCTAAAACCCTGTGAGTCTTTGACTGAGACATCAAGCAAAGAAAACTGTTATCCTCAAACGTGGGCTGGAAACTGTGCTTCTGTTTTTGTTTAAAATTTTTTTGCAGGAACAGTTTTTTTTGTTTTAATTTTTGTTTTTTACCTTGGTAGGGGTTCAGGGTCAGTCACATCCAGTCCTGCAGCTTTAATAATCCCAGTTTGAAGAGCTTCAACTAGGGCATCTTGATCAACCAATTGGCCTGAATTAATGGAACAGTATCTTTGTCACCATCATAATTAATCTTTGTCAGTATCATAATTAGACTATATATAACACATATAGAGAACCTATATATTATATATGTATGTAATAGAGAAGTAATGTCCACATTTCAACCTCTTTCAATAACTTTAAAACTACACAGTTACTCCTGTTCTAACTGATCAAATGACGGGAACACATAAATATCAAATTACATAAAATCAAATGATTGTGATACAAAAATAAAAATGGAGCCAAAGAAACAATAAATTTGGCCACATAACTTTTTTCTTTCTTTCTTTTTTTAAAAGAGTGATAAAATTATTATTTCAATCATCTGTTGGGGTGGGAGGGGAGAATAAAGGGATGGTTCAGTTTTGTTTTAAGTTCCCTAAGAGAAAAACTTCTATTTCTCCCAGGAGCTCATCCTTTTCTAGTAAGAAAGGATTCAGGCCAATACTTGGGGAGGAGGTTAAAAGTCACAGGATGAGCTACCTCAGATCACTGAAGACTATGCTGAGCTTCCTTGAGTTTTCAAGTTTTTAAAAAACAAGTTATTTCAGCTATTCCTCTACAATACAAAACACCGCACAGAATCTCCCTTAAGAATTTAACAGAATCAGTTATTAGTCTCTATAAGCTTAGTGTGCTACCTACTGCTAACGTGAACACGGACCACTTATTTATCTGCTGCAGACAGCAATGCAGTGACAAATCACAATCCTTAGAATTTAGTCTTTCCGGAAAGAAAACTCCACTGGTAGGGCAGAGCAGACCAAATCTTCTGCTTCAAGCCCTTAACCAAAGGACTAATAATACCTTTTAAATATCTTTTACATAAGTGTCACAGGACAGTAGCAGTCTCCACTTCCAAAAGACTTTACCTTAGGCTACTGCCTCTCTCTATTCTCAGCCAGGAAGGAACCAGGAAACAGGGCTCCTGAACTAGTGTCTTGATTCTAGAATAGTAGTATTCTCTAAGAAGAAGCTGGTAGCTCCAGCAACTAAGATGGAAAATAGGAATGCTTTTTACCAAAAAAAAGAAATACCAAACAAATATTTAACTTGGATAAAATATGCAGAACAAAGTCAACTAGATTTTAATTATTTCCCTTGCCCCCTGCAATCTAGTTCTATAGATCAGTAACTGGCTGTGGTCGACTGTGCTTTGAGAAGTTACTCAGACCAACTTTGGGACATTGCAGAATAGGTCTTTCTGCATTAGAAAGATTCAAGCTTTGCTACAAATATTTAAAGAAACAATCACTACTTCCCCAGGAATATTATCCTCAGCAGAATTGTAAATGGATGACATCATTCCTATATCAAGTGCAAGGTGGATGGGAAGAAAGAAAAGTGTAAGATGCTCTCTCTACATAACAGTGGTTCATCTGGGAAAGCAACTTTGCTCATATGAAAGGGGAGCTTTAGAACCCTGAAGGAGTCAACACATTCATGTCCCTTGGTTTGCTGTTATGGGTTGGTAGAGGTTGTTTCTTTGCTTTCATCATGGGAAGGTCCATCTTAGGTGACTTGAATGCTGCTGGGTCCTCTGCAATTCCAGTAGCCTCAACCTGAATGATCTCCATTAGTGATGGCTTCTGAGTACCTCTGTAGGACTGGACATTGAAACCCAAGTTGGATTTCTGAAGAGTTCTTGCTCCAAAAAGGCTCCATTTTTCAGATGAGGGTTTGTTTCTATCTCTATTTAAAGAGTCCATGCTGTTGACATCTAGGCCAGGTAAGGAAGTAGAAGATCCATGAGTAAACCAGCCTCTGGGCTTTAGCTTGGGAGAAGAATGGGGTATACTACTTGGGGAAGACTTGGTTGAAACTGTCAGTCTCTCTTCTTTTGTCATTTCTCCATTTTGTAACTTCAATTTATGGACTGCTTCTGCCACATGGTATTTCTTGGTTTCTTCTGTGGTGAATCCTCGATGGGGAGTGTATCCTGCATCTGTCAACCCTGCAGGCTGTTCAAAGCAGTGGATGCTCTCGTGTCTGTTTTGTAATTAGAGAATTCATGATGACATGTGTAGCCTTGGCCTTCACCACTGGGGCTTTGTTCATTTGGTCGCTGAAAGCTGAGGGGGTTATGGAGAAACTATTTTCTCTTTCCTCAGCCTTGGAAAGCTATTGGTACTTCCGATATGGGATAACTGGCTTTTTTCATAGAACCTTACTGCACATGTCAGATGAGGGTGGAGTTATCAGTGTGGGATCCTCCAGGACACCATCATAACCGGATGCCCGATGATGCATTCCAATTGGTAAAGACAACTTGCCTAGAAGCCCACCTGTACTGTGCTCAATAGCAGGCACATCTGGCTCTCTGGATGATGCCATAAAAGCCTGTGATCCAGTTGTTTCTCTAGATAGATATCCAGAACTCTGATTCTCACGATGAAAGTTATACAGACAGGAAAAAGATGTCAAAAGGAAACATTCTGCAGCTAGTGACGAACTAGCAGAGTCCGAAGCAGCTCTCATGCAGAGACTCTACACAGTTGGGTTTCTGTGAGGAGGAAGGTGGGACGAGATGGTCCACAGCCTGAGGCTCCGCCACCTACAGGAAGCTGAGACTCCAAGGCTCCAGGCCCCTGTCACTCCCTAAATACAGAAGCACTGGGCAAACCAAGGCCACAATACAAGCAGCGCCAAGATCCAAACAGAGGAGTAGAGTGAAGTCAACTTTTTTCTCAAGAGCAACGTAACATTTAAAGCTTAGTTGAGAGGAAGAATGTTCTTGCGGAAGGAAGGTCAGCCTTAGAAATAAGAGTTGTTGTTATTCAGTCATTTTTCAGTCCTATCTGACTCTGTGTGACCCCACTTGGGGTCTTCTCGGCAAGGATACCAGAGTGGTTTGCCATTTCCTTCCCCAACTCAATTTTACAAATGAGGAAACTGAGGCAAAAGCGTTAAGTGACTTCCTCTGGGTCACATAGCTAGTAAGTGTCTGAGGCCAGATTTGAACTCAGGAAGATGAGACCTCTTGACTCCAGGCCTAGCATTCTATCCACTGTACCACCTAGCTGCCCCAAAATAAGAGACATGGGTTTTACTTCAGTTTCTCACACCTGCTATCCATGTGTCCATGGGCAAGTCACTGGGCCTTTGGTTTCCTCATCTACAAAATTGGGTTAATAACCCTACCCTAATACCCACTTTACAACAGGGTTCAGAGGATGAAATGAGATAATGTACACAAATCACAAAATTTAAATTGCTATAAAAACGTTAGCTATTAATTATGACAACTGAATAGTATAGATTTAAAACTGGAAGGAGTGGTGTCAGTGGTCATACAATCCAACCACCTCATTTTACAGATGTGAAAACTGATGGCCAAAGAGGTTGAGTGACTTGCCCAGGGTCACATAACCAGGAAGTGTCTGGGCCAGTATTTAAACCCAGGTGTTGCTGACTCCAAGTCCAAGAAATTAAGATGCCTCTCATTTCATTTCAGGTTCAAAATGACATGTCCATGTCCCATCAAGAAGCATTTACATGAGAAAGAAACTTCTCCTTTATGCTTACAACCTTCACAGACTTGCAGAAAGGTTTATGATGCTCTCTCTGAGTATCAATGACTATTCAGTAAATACCTAACTCCAAAGCTTAGAGTAAACAAGCTCAGTGAGATGCTCTGATAAGGTCATTTTATTTCTGAAGACCAATTCTTTAAAATGCTTTTCTTCTGTTTGTTGCAATAGTAGTCTCTAGAATTGAGATTTACATGTCCAGTGTTCAGTGCTATGCCTACAGAAGTACTAACTTTATCCTTCAATGCATCTTCCATGGGGAGTAGGTTTCTGCTTGCCTAAGATGGTCACTAAGGCACCAGGTGAAAATACTGATATCATTTAGAATGACAATGCTACATATTTTATATATAATGTATGTATTATAAGATGTGTATTATTTATATATTTGTATATTATCTATATAATGTTCAATTACATAGACTGTAGATTCATATATTCCCATATTCTTTATTTATGAATTGATAATATATTTATACATTCTTACTTTTCCAAAGCACTTTTACCTTAATTACTTAAACGAATTCCAGATATTATCTTTATCATACATACATAAAGTAATTAAGGCACAAAGATTACTCAAGGCCATAGTTCTCAAACAGTAACAAAGCCAGTCCTAGAACTCTTGCATCCAAACTCTACTGCTTTTTGATCATCAGTGAACTAGTACTGACATACAACTACCACTGATTTCAGTCATGTCATTTCAATGTCAACAGAACTTTATTTCTCTGTACTAAACTCTGTTATGGTTCTCAGTTTCATAAGTTCTGTGTTCAACTCACGAATTAATTTTGAGTGGACATATGAATAATTATTATGTGTAGATATCTAAATAAGGCATTATAAAAATGTTAAGGAAGAAAGAGAAAGAATTTTGCTGAGAAAGTAACGACGAAACGCTGAGAAGTATACAGGTAAGCTTAGAAGATATTCAACATGGTGTTCTTTCCCACAAAAGGTATAAAAAAAAATCTGAATAAAAAAACTTTTACTTGACTTAATCACAACTTGGTTCAAAATACATTCCCAAAAAGTCAAGAACTCTTACAATCAGAAGGTAAATTTCAACTCTCTTGCTTACCAATCTGGATTTCTCTTTAATCAACAGAGCTGCAAAGGAAGGAAGTTAACAGAGAATGCCAAATATTTGAGATTTAGTGCAACACTGTTTCAGTGAAGGAGAAAAATATCATTTTGGTAGGCAAATCTTCTAGTATCTATTACCTCGGCCAATGTTTATAAGAGAAGCAGTGGGTTTCATTAATCCTAGTTCCCTCTTTCCAATAAACTTATGGGTCTGGGGTGTCAGACTGACGACCAGCATTACAAAGTCTGATTGCTGCAGTAGCTCATCCAACTTTGCACAGTAATGGGCTCCAACTGCCTGTTCCTCTTCCACTTTCCTGTCAGAATTAACCAAGAAAAAGTAAAGCTCAAAATACCCAAAGAAAGTTCAAGAGATCAAGAACAAACTCCAGGAAAAAGTCACTGAAAATTAACCTAAAATAAGGTAAAAATGATTTAGTCATATTATTTAGGCCAAGGGCTGACAATTAAGTTGAGATTAGATAAAAGAAGCATGGAGGCAGGGTGTTACAGTGGGAAAAGCAATAGATTTACAGTCAGAAAAATTGTGTTCAAATCGTAGCTCCAATTGTTGTCTTGTAAATCAAAGGGACTTTAAAATAAAAAGGATGGGAGAAGGAGAAAACAGCCTATGTACATTCACCAAGACAGATATCATAGAGTAACAGTTCTCAAAGTGTGGTCTGTAGAAACTGTGGGATTCGCAACACTCTTTTGGCGGGAAGGGTGGTCCAAAATATACTTTTTAGAAGACTTTATTTGCTTTTAAAATACTCTTCCCTTTTACAACTATATATTGAGGAGGAACAGGATAGGTAAAGAGAGATGGAAGTAATGCTGTATATTAAGAAGATATACTTTTGAGGGAAAATACAGGAACTGAAATGGGAAAGGAAGAGAAGAATGATGGAGAACATCTGACTGAAAGTCTACAGGGAAACAGGAGGAATTTTATCTTTACACTGTGATGTGGCAGTTAATGGAATCATTGATTTTATTTAGAGAAGTAAAGCTTCACTTAAGTTTGGAAATTTATTTTTTGGAAGTTTTACCTACGGTTCCTATTGTGATACAGAATCTTCATTTCAAATGCTTTGGCTCGCTGAGCAATCTTATAGCCAATCCTGCCCATACCTATGATTCCCAGAGTAGATCCAGTCACTTCTTGTCCCATCCAGTTAACATTAAAGTGCTTAGTGTCTGGTGAAGTAGCTATCTCATTCCCTAAAAGTCCAAGATGCAAAAGTAAGCCAAGAAACTCTCTCCACAACATTTCTAATATACTTTTAAGACAAAGAAATGAAGGAACAAGTTGTGATTTACACCTGCAATATAATCTCTGATAAAATTAGTTGTTCTGAGAACTCATGCTCCAGAACATACGACCCATTCATTTCTACATGAAATAAAACAAAAGTTTCAGCAAAAAATAAACCATCACATATTGGGAACAGGTAGTAGTTTTCTTCATAGTATAAATCAGAATATCCTGGCTAAAGGGTCACATTGTAACATTTATTCTAAACTAGCAATCTTATGTCACAAAAAGGCTGGAGTTCTTTACTTTTGGGTCTGGGAACTTGTTTTAAAATGGTTTTAAAAAAAATTAAAAAAAACTTTTTTGATAACAGTATTTTCAGTAGAATTGGTTTTCTTTTGTGATCCTATGTATTTTAATTTATTCATTTAAAAACATTATTGTGAGAAGGGTTACATAAGCTTCATAAGACACTATCTAGGAATCAGGACAATATGAAAAGGATTTATATTTTTAAAATATCAGTTTCAATACTTTTTCATTATTTTTACAAATGAAGTCTTCCCAGTTACCAATTACCATGAAATTAAAGGGCTTAAAAGGCCATTTTACCTTCTAATATTCTCCGGGCTGATGCCAGAAGTAGGGCCATTCCCATGTCTGCAGTGCTGTTAGTAACAGCTTGTGGAGTGTTGGCCAATTTCACACCAAAGCTGGCAATCATGCTCAGGTCCAGATGATCCAGGCCTGCTCCTGAGTTTACAATAATCTTCAAGGTAGGCAAGCTCTGCAGGAGCTCCTGGTCAATATGTGGTTTCCATCCCCACATGTATATTGCTTGTATCTTTTGACTGAAATGTATTTTGTTTTCAAGAAATTCTTGCATGGTGATAAGATTAAAATGTTTCTTAAGATCTTCTACATGATCTTCATGCACACCATACGGTCCTTCAATACTACTTATCAAAACACAAGGTAGTTCTTGATTTTGCATGACCTGTGGAGAAAAATAAAGGGTTTCTGTAATAAAGGGAAAAAATCTTTAGGAATATAGAGTGTGTTTTTTAGTTAATCATTGACTTCCTGAATTACAACAAGAATGGAATGGGACTGTTTGGGGGTTTTAGCAAAATTTCTAAAATAGCTCACAGGTCCTAGAGCTCATACTACCCTGAGTGTACACGTCTCTACTTTCTCCCACCTTGGCCTTTGTCTCTTCTAAAATTAGCTTTACCATTAAAATGAAGAATATTTTCATGATGTTCTAAATTTACTAAATAAAATTCTGTATTCCTGATGCTTAAAGATCAATAACTAGAAAATTTTATATCTTAAATAGCAATTTTCTTTTTTTAAAAGTGTAGTGAGTGAATAATTTCTGCCTTTGTCTCACTGGCTCTTAATGGGAAAACCATTGTTTTCTATGGATTTTTTGTAAGATTCCGTTGAGGAAATAAAGTATAACATAATTAATGAGTTGAAAATCTCTTCAGATTATAATAAATACAGTATACAACAATCAGAATATATATAAAATCAAGTTACATTTAATATAGAAAAATGTTTACTTGTGAATCCTTAATGAAAAGCTCACCTTTATTTTTTTCCTCTGACTTCAGAGTTAGTGGTCTGTCCAGTGTCCTATACTGTTTTCATGGTACTAACACAGACAACTGTGTCTGTTCGTGTAGATAACACAAGTTATGGAATGAGCATTCAATTTTTGAAATTAAATTTTGAAAGCCAAAATTTTGAATTTTGAATGCTAAGCTGACTCTGAATTGTTTGTGACAGCGTCGCCACAATACACCATGAAACTGCAACAAAGCAAGAGCTTAACAAACTTGAAAGCCAGAAAAGCTCCAATCATAAAATGAAGAGCTGCTTAAAATGTTTAAAAAACTAATAAAAAAAATACACACTAGTGTGATTTAAAAAAAGAAAACCAAATTGTCTGAATCAAAGTTGAATAAAGAGAATTCATGACAAATAAAGATGAAATAAACTATCAAAAACTATTGTGTTCAATTCTATGGCAAAAAAAATGATAGAGAAAATAGACGAATATAAAAACAAAATATGCAGATTAACAGAACAAGACATAGATTTAGATTATTTACAAAACTCAAGTCAGAAAAAAATTAAATGTGCCATTAAGGTATAAGACAAATCTAGAGACAGAACCAGATGGATTTCCAAGTGAAATCTATCAAACATTCAAAGAGCAATTAATTCCACTATTACACAAACTACTTACAGAAATAGGGCCCTGGAGGAAAAGATCCCTTCTAGATTCTATGATACAAATATGGTATTGACAACTAAACTAGGTAGAGACAAAGCAGACAAAAAAAAAACAAAAACAACAAACCTATAGACCAATAAACCTAAGATCATCAAGATAAAATGTTAAATGAAATATTGGCAAGAAGTCTGCAGTGATTTCCCTAAAGATAAGTCATCAAAGATTATGAACGTAGAGTTTTCAAAGGATGAACTGCAAAGTATTCACAACCATAAGAAAAAATTCTCCAGATTGCTAGTAATAAGAGAAATACAAACCAAACAACCTCAAGAAAATCATTAATAAGAAGAAAGTCCCCATATACACCAAAATATTTATAGCAACACTTTCTGTGATAGAAAAGAAACAGAAAGTAGAAGGCCATTGATTGGGGAATGGCCAAACAAATTGTGGCACATGTATACAATGGAATATTACTGTGCTATAAGAAATAATGTATGTGATCAATACAGAGAAGCATGGAAAGATTAACCTGAACTAAAGCAGAATGACATAAGCTAAGCCAAGAAAATGACATACACAATATCTACAACAACGGAAATGGAAAGAACCACATACCAAGAAAGAAAAAATTGAATGTAACAAAATCATAAAGATCAAGCATGACTTGAATGAAGAGGTATCAAGATATCCCCCAATCCATGTCTTAGTTGAAGCAGAAGGTCCATCAGTGTTAATATTACACGTCGTCAGATTTTTTTCAATGTATCTATCAGTCGTGTTGATTTTTTTTTCACTCTATAAATACATACTATTTCTTATAGGGGATGACTCTTCGGGAGGAGAAAGATAAGGATACTAGGGATAACTATGATGATGTTAAAAAAAAGAACACTAATAAACACTTTAAAAAAAAAAGAGACTAAATTAACATACTCAAATGACTGTAAGCTATGACCTGGTTTGGATTTATGCCAAGAACGCATGGTTAGTTCAATATAACAAAAAGTATAAGCATAATAGGCAATATTAATAACAAAAAGACATTATGATACCAATAGAAGCTGAAAAATCCAACATAAATTTAAGGATAAAAATCCTTAAAAAACATAGGAAGAAATGGGTCTGTACTTAACATGATAAGTAGTATTTATCAAAAACCCAGAGGGAGCATTACATGTAATAGAGAAAGGTAGAAGACTTCCAAATAAAATCAGTGATAACACAAAGGTATCCATTATCATCATTATTATTTAACATAAGACTAGAAATCCTAGCCATAAAAAATGTCAAGAAAAATGAATCAAGGAAATACATACAAGCAAAGAGGAAAGAGAACTATTGCAGCACTGACTAAAAATTAATTGAAACAATGACTTCAGCAAAATTGCAAAATATAAAATAAATAATAAAATAGTAACTAACATGTATATAGGACTTACTATGTGTCAGGCACTGTGCTAAGTATATTTCAATGACCTTATTTGGTCCAAACAACAATTCTGGGAGGTAGATATTATTATTATCCTCATTTTACAGATGAAGAAACTGAAGCAAAGGTCAAGTGACTTGCCCAAGGTCACCTAGCTAAAAAATGTCTAAGGTCAGAAAACGAAATGAAATCTTTCTGACTCTTGGCCCAGTTAACCTATCCCCTACACTACAGAAATAGAAATCAACATCATTTCTCTATATTACCTATACATTTCAATATAAGAGAACTTCCATGTAAAATAATTATATGACATACAAAATATTTATGACTCTAGCTACCAAAATATACATAAGAACTATATGAATCTTATTCAAAATATCCTTTGGAGGGAAAAAAACTAGACTTACATACCTGAAGAAATAACTCATGGTTTATGGATAAGGTGTTACCTAAATCCACTTGTTTATTCAGTGCCATACTAATCAAATTTTTTAAAGATTACTTTATAGAGCTAGAAAAATGATGAAATTCATCTAGAGGAGCAATCAGCAAACTACCTGCCAGACAGATCTGTCCCACTGCATATTTTTGTATGGTCAGTGAAATAAGAATAGTTTTTTTTTATTTTTTTAAATAAAGTTTTATTATATTTTTACAATGTAAAAATCATTCTCAGCTCTACAAAAATAGGTAAAATGGATTGTGACATTGGGCTATGGTTGGCTGAACCAGGAGCTAAGGGAACAAAAGGTTAAGAATCTGAAGGGAAATTAAGAAAAGGATGGAAAGTAATAGAGCCTAGCAGTACTAATTTCAAACTATACTAAAAAGCATTAATCAGTAAAAGGATTTGAGAGCAGGTAGAAAATAAAGAGGTTGAGTATAAAATATAATACAAAACATACATAAAGAGGTTGAAAATAAAAGGAAAATAGACTAGGTACACAACTTACAGAGGCAAAACAATACAATATAATGACATTCTATAAAGCCAAGTTACTTGATAAGGACTTATTTAACAACAACTGCTGGAAGTAATGGAAAGCAGTTTGGGAGATATTGAGTATGGCCCATCAGCAGATCTCACTTCCAAGATAAATAAGGAACTGATTCAATTTTATAAGAATAAAACCAACTGATAACAAACAACAATCGATAAATAGTTAAAATTGATAAATGGTTAAAAATATGAATAGGTAGTTCTCAAGAGAAGAAATCCAATCAATAGCTCTACAAAAAAAAAAATGCTCCAAATCATTACAAATCAGATATATGCAAATTAAACCAACTTCAAGGTTCAACCTCACACCAATCAGATTGATAATGATGACAAAAAAAATGAGAATGACAATTGTTAGAAGGACTTCAGGAAAATAGGCATATTCATTCACTCTTGATAGAACTGTGAATTAATTGGTCCAGCTACTTTGGAAAACAATTTGTAACAATGCTCAAAAAATCACTAAACTACCCTAATACTGACAAAGGTCTCATGACTTACAAATATCATCTTTCCATGTAGAAATGTAAACAGTTCAACTTTAATAAGTCCCTTATGATTTCTCTTTCCTGTTTACTTCTTCATGTTTCTCTTGAGTCTTATATTTGAAAGTCAGATTTTTTTATTCAGCTCTGGTGTTTTCATGAAGAATGCTTGAAAATGCTCTATTTCACTGAATGATCATTTTTCCTCTGAAGGATTATACTCAGTTTTGCTGGGTAGGTGATTCTTGGCTGTAATCCTATCTCCAGAATATCATATTCCAAGTCCTCCGGTCCCTTAATGTAGAAGCTGCTAAATCCTGTGTTATCTTCATTATGTTTCAACAATACTTGAATTGTTTCTTTCTGGCTGCTTGCAATATTTTCTCCTTAACCTGGGAACTCTGGAATTTGGCTATAATATTCCTGGGAGTTTTCCTTTGGGAATCTCTTTCAGGAGGTGATTGATGGATTCTTTCAAATTCTATTTTACCCAGTGGTTCTAAAATATCAGGGCAGTTTTCCTTAATAACTTCTTGAAAGATGATGTCGAGGCTCTTTTTTTGATCATGGTTTTCAAATACTCCAAAAATTTTTAAATTCTCTCTCCTGGATCAATTTTCTAGGTCACTTGTTTTTTCAGTGAGATATTTCACATTATCTTCTATTTTTTCATTCTTTTGGTTTTGTTTTACAATGTCTTGATTTCTCATAGTCACTAGCTTCCATTTGCTCCATTCTGATTTTTAAGGAAATATTTTCTTCAGTGAGCTTTTGGACTTCCTTTTCCATTTGGCCAGTTCTGCTTTTGAAGGCATTCTTCCCCTCATTGGCT